CAGGAGCTCCAACCTTCATCCGGCTTGAGAGGCTGTAGCTGGCACTAGAGGGTTTGTTGGGAACCTGGCAGCCCAGCAGATTAGGAAGCGTGTAGCTGGTGGAGAGAAGGAAACAATATCTAGGTTGAGATTCAGAGAATTCTGGTTTCATGTATGCTATTTCTGATTTGGAGGATAAGGCTAAGCTAAGCACTGTCATTTTTAGCAAATGTTACTCTAACAGGAATATGAACAGCATCACTGATTCATTTCTAGCAGTTAGTGGAATCAATTCACTATTGGTTTTGGGATTTACTAACAATAAGGAACCAATAAGAAAAATATAAACCAGCCTTATCTTGTAATCTGCTTGTCCTCCTGCCATCACCTGTTGGGTGCTGGTACAGCATCCACAGAGCGGTATCTGGTGCGGGCACCGATGGTGTGTGATGGAGGTCTGCGGTGGGCATTGAGAGGTGGAGCCTTTTCTGGGCTATAGGAACCAGGCCCTGGACTATGGGACAGATAATCTGTGAACATAGAGTAAACAGAAATTGGTTGGGGAAGTTTCATTGCACACATGAACGTGGCAAGGGTTTTGGAGAAAAGCACAATTTGAGTAACTGAAAAAATCCCAAATACTGTATCATTTACTACTGATTCTTTATCAAGAATTTGAGCAGGCATCACAACAGTTCCATGGATGCTCAACCAAACTGACCAGATAAGGGAAAACGTGGCACTTTGCTCTTATTTATCTATATCCTTTTTTGTTCTATCTTTGGCACTGAGAGATTTGATTTGATTTGATTTGATTTGATTTATTCTTTCAAGCATGTAAAAACAGTTGATATGACAACACACATAATTTTACACATAATCCATTATCAATGTGCTTATACCTAGTACATGCTTGAATGGAGTAGGAAGAAATCAGACTTATCCAGTCCTACCCCATGACATCATCTTACCATCATTGGTTTGCAAGCAGTAAATGATTCACTTCTACCCACACATGTATTATACTAAAAAAAGATTATAACAGTGTTAACATTCTTACATAATTA